GTGACTGTACAAGTTTATACTCCTACCTGCATTGGAGGAGTGTTCCCCTTTCTCCATTTCCTCTCCAGCATAAGCTGTCACCAATGTTTTTGATCTTAGTCATTCTTACAGGTGTAAGATAGTGTCTCAGAGTTGTTTTGATTTGCATTTCTCTGATGGCTAAGGATGTTGAGCATTTCCTTAAGTGTCTTTCAGCCTTTTGAGATTCCTCCGTTGAGAGTTCTCTGTTTAGATCTATACCCCATCTTTTAATTAGATTATTTGTGGGGTTTTTTTTGATGTCTAGTTTCTTGAATTCTAATTGTAACCCCATGTAAAAATCAAAACGTAAATTACATACACCCACCCAGCATAAACTGGCAATGAACATACATTACCATCCCAAAAGGGAGGAAATGGGACACCGTGAGCAAATACTGTACCAAGGCAAGACTGAAATCCAACAAGGAAACCTCCAAATCCTATAGCTCCATGTCTTTAGTCAAAGGGTTTAGATGGCTCCACTCCCTTAACTTTGCTCCCTGCCTCTCTCGGAATGGTTCCATCTTCTGCATGCAGCTCTTTTTGACAGAGATTCCATGACTCTGGCATCTTCAATATCTTGAAGTTACCAATTCAACGCAGGCTTCACTTTCACGACTTTATGCAATGTCCCCTAGGCCTCCATGCAGAAACTTCTGCCACAAGCCTGGTCTCAGTGACTCTCTGACCACAGAAAAGCATCCCACAACCTCTTTACTCTTGGAACTTTTGTGACTTTAAAGCCAGAACCGTGTAGATGACACTGGCAGGTTTGACTCCCAACTTGGGGTGGACCTTGACCCCAGGAATTAACATTTGCAGAAGCTTTTGTTTGTTCCTTTCTAAAAAACAATTCCTAGGCCTTTTCCTTTCACAAGTTGGAAGTTTAAGTGGGTGGGGTCTTGCCCTGAAGGATGCTTTCCTTTATCCTCCTGCAGATCAGGTTTCTCTATAATCTCTCTTATCTCAACACAAGCCTTGGCTGTGCTGTTAGTTTCCCGATGTGCTCTTTCCCTTCCAAACTGTACATTTTGCATTTCTTTCTGCCCCACTTGCTTGTTTTCTTTGTAGACCTGTAGAAGACTGATTATTTATAACCACCCGACAGAGTCAATTCTAGACTGTCTTAAAATCCCCTTCACCAACGGAATTAGCTCATTATTTTTCAATTTAGCCTTTAGACACATCCTTAGGACAAAGGTACAACGCTGCTATATTCTTTGCCAAAATATCACAGGCACAATCTCTAACCCAGTTGCTAATACTGTTGCCACCTGAGCTGAGTCTCCACTGTCCGTGTTGCTCCCATAGCTGTCTTCCAAGTTCCTAGGAGGATGGCCCATTAAGTTCTGCTTACAGTGTTTAAGTGCCTTTCTAGTCCAAAGTGCCAATCTATAAAACTATCTATAAAGCATCACGGTCAGGCCTATCACAGGAAAAACCCTTTCCTTGTAGTCAGGTTAGTTTACTTTTCTATTGCCATGATAAAACACAGGAAAAAACCCTTTTTTGGTAGTCTGATTAGTTTACTTTTCTATTGCTGTGATAAAACACCATGATCAAGACAACTTACAAAAGGAAGGGTTTATTCGGTTTATGGTTCTAGAGGGGTAAGAGTCCATCATGGCGGGAGGCCTGATGGCAGGAACAGCTAATAGCTCACAACAACAAACCGGAAGCAGAATGCGCTAACTGGGAATGGTGCAAGGATTTGAAACCTCAAATCCCAACTCCAGTGAAGGCCACATCTCTTAAACTGCCCGAACAGTGCCACCAATAGAGGAACAAGTATTTAAAAGTCAGACTACAGAGGGCACCTCTCACAAATGACCACAGTGACCATTTACAGCAGGAAGCTGGAATTAATAGATGGACATAACTTAAGCTGCAAGCCCCAGTTGGCTGTCATCAATGGTACCAATAAATAACCCTGACGCAGGAAGATCTGGTTGTGGAGTCCCTTTGATTGTCATATCTCCTTGGTTTCCTTTGTTCTGGGGAAAAAAATTCATCTTTCCTTGACTTTTATGACCTAGAGACACTTTAAAATATTACAGTCCATTTATTTTTCATTATTGTCCTCATTTGTTGTTGGCCTGCTCTTTCCTCCTGATTAGATGCAGCAGAACATGGTTGACAGGGCTAACACGGAGAGCAGGGCCGGCTCTCCTCTGGCTCTGATCACAGGTAAGTTAAGTTACCGTCGCTGTTGTGTTGAGCTGAGTCCTCCAGGTCTCCCGCTGGAAACCTTCCTTGCTTCCTGCCCTAATTCCCATGTGTTTGAGAAGCTGCTTTGGGGCTCTGTACATACCCAGTGCCCACTGGATTTTCAATAAATGAGAGTTTTTATTTGACAAAGATTTGTTTGATGCTTCTAACCAGGATTATAGAAATGTTATGTGAGTTTACAGTTTTGGAGACAAACCTAATAAATAATATAAATAAGTGCAATGAATGAAATAAAATAATGATTTATTTATTTATTTATTTATTTTTGCCAGAGAGGACAATACCACATTTCTTATAAGAATAAATAGGAAAGACTTCCGGAGAGAGACTGGATGTGTATGTATATGTCCATCCATTGGAGCTGGATAACACGCAGTCAGTTGCTCTCTGTGTCGGGGTATAAGGATATGTATTTAGAACACAGTCAGAAATCACGCTGGTTTAGGAGAGTGGCGGTAATAGTTCTCCTTGAGCGCCCATGACTTCGCCAGCCATGGGGAATTGGCTGTGTTTACAGTACTAAGCATAAATCCCTTCCTATTGAGTGGTCCTTAAGTTCAATTAGAAAACTGTTAGTTACCTCTTAAGATGTAAGCGCCACCCTTGTGGATAGTCTGCCGTTCTAGTCGGCATGGCGGATTAGAGGCATCGTGGGTAGGTAGGACTATTGATTGCATTTTGCCTCTGAGCTGCTTACACAGCTGTTGCTAGGGCTATGTGAGCTAATCCTCAGAGAGGAGGCGAGCCTGTGGTCCATAATTAGTCATTGATGTGGGAGGAGCCAGCTCATTCTTGGGTTGTGCTACCCCTGGGAGGCTGGTCCTGGGGTGGATAAGAAAGCAAACAGAACAAGCTCTTTGGAGCAATCCAGTAAGCAACATCCCCCATGGCCTCTGCCTCAGTTCCCATCTTTGGGTTCCTGACTTGAGGTCCTGCTCTCTGAATGATGGACTTATTATAGGCTGTAAGCTGAAATAAACCATTTTCTTCCCAAGTTGCATTGGATCATGGTGTTTTATCACCGCAGCAGAAACTGAACCGAAGACACCTGGCTTCTGCAGTTATTCCAGGCTCTGTCTTCACATCTAAAGATTCAGAGAGAGCACTCAGTGTTTGTCTTTCGTGGTCTGGGCTGCCTCGCCTCACTCAATGTCGTATTTTCTAGTTCCATCCATTTGCCCGAAAATCTCATGATTTCATTTTCCTTTCAGCTGAATAGCATTTTGTTGTGCGAATGTACCACATTTTTGCTGTGTATTCCCCAGCTAAAGGGCCTACAGGTTCTTTCTGTTTCCTGGCTATGCGAATAGAGTCTCAGTGGACTTAGCTCAGCAAGTATCTGTGGAGTCACTTCAGGCACACTCCAAGGAGTGGGATAGCTGGGTCATATGGGAGGTTTGCTTTTATCTTTCTGAGAAGTCTCTGCCCTGGTCCACTCAATGGCTGCACTAGTCTGTAATTCCACTCACAGTGAATGAGGGCCCTTTTTCTCCACATCCTCACCAACACTGGGAGTTGCTTTCTTGATCTTAGCCATTCTATTGGTGTAAGGGGAAACCTCAAGGTAGTTTTAATTTGCAGTTTTCTAATTGCTAAGAATGTTAAACACTTTTAAAGTTGTCTCATTCATAACAGAGCCCCCCTGAATAGAAAGGACAGCTCTGGTGATCACGCCAGCTCTGAAGCTACATTACAAAGCCATGGCAACCGAGAAGGATGTTCTGACACAGTACAGACATGCTGACCAACGTACAAACACAGAAGACCCAAATGTGAATGCATGTAACTGTAATTACAGACAGCTGATATATGATAAAGTGCCCCCCACCCGCAAACAAGAACAAAATCAAGCAACACACATGCTGAAGCAAAGATAGGATCTTCGACAGATAATGCTGGAAAACTGACTCTGGAATTTGTACACTTTGTGTATGTAACATGAATGAAGCTTGACCCCGTCATTGTAGAATTTTAGTAGCTGCCATTAGAACTGTGAGTAGCTCTATTTTTGTATAAGTATATAACTGGATTTATTGAATATTGAAAAATTAAATATGATATTTTATCTACATAGTTTTGATTTTAAATTCTGATTATCATTCAACTTAAATTTGTGCTTATTTTAGTGGGCAATTTTATATTCTACAGAAGAAAAACAAACATCAAAGGCAACATTTTAATATTAGATAATTTAATAGTTAATAATGTATAAAAATAATAAAACACTAAATAACAATTAAGAATTTAATGAATAACTTAATGTATTGCCTCATTATATTTACTCTAGTGTAAATTTCAAATAAAAATGTTGTCAACTTAATTATGTATTATATAATAATTGACAATGTAACTTGTCAACTTATTACAATTTAAGTATTATGTTATAATTGATTGTTTCTAGCAGTCATAAGTTTTATGAAAATGTGTATTATGACACATGATTTAAGATTCTATAGAAATGACAAGAAATATAAAATTTAGGAAATTGATATGTAGGAATTTATAAATACACATGACTTTCTTAACATTACAGAATTGGCTGGTCTATCCATTACTATTCAGTTTCATATGATAGTCTTTTCTCGAAAGTAAAACTAAAGGGTATTTTGCCTGAGTGTGCTCCATGCACATGCAGTACCGATAGAGGCCAGAAGAGGGCATCAGATCCTCTGGAACTGGAGTTACAGATGGTTATGAGTTACCATGTGGGTGCTGAGTATTAAACCTGGATCCTCTGCAAGAGCATTCAATGTTCTTAACCATTAAGCCAACTCTCCAGCTCCATATGATAGTCTTTTAAATCAATTACCTGAGATGTTTCTATAATTTCTGGTCACATAAAATCATTAGTTTTGCACATTATAATGACTAATCCTGGTTGTGAACTTCTTTGGAGTTAATCTAACCAAGAGCTAAGCCACTGGGAACACCTGTAGGAGATCTTTTTTCTTTTTTTAAAAGAGCAACATTTTTATTGATATAAAATTGCACTTATAAAATGTCCACAGAGGACATGTGACTTTTTTTTTTTTTACTTCTGTCTAGATGTATTAGTAATGTTATTCACACCTATTGTCACCTAAAACAAACTGTCAACAGCAAGCATGTCTGTGCGTTTACTTTCATGCAGGGTAACAGACGCTGCATAGGGATGATACAGAACAGTCACCGATTCTGGGTCTTGATGTCTTTGCTTGGCAATGATGGCCTTGGTGATGGTCTACAATGGGGCTCCAGGATTTCGAGAGCAGTAATTTGTGGCTACATGTGGCTACTTGTTTACCCATAGAACAACTTAAAGTTTACCTCTAATAAAGAAGTGCAGTATTACTGTCAGTTGTTCTGTATATTTAAATCGTATAGTCCAATTATTCATAAACGAACAAGACACACAAATACTCTTAATTATATTTTTTTAAAAAAATTCCATCAACTCATAATTCCTCTAAACACATAGTAAATTTCTGAAAGGCGCATGAATTACCTTAGATAATAAGGTTTTAGTAATGAGCATTTCATATTTCATACCATGAAATGTGCGTAACTGACATTTATTTCATGCAGCATCAAGGAATTCCAAAACTCCTCAAAGTTATGGCTCTGCAGCTGGTTTAGCAGATTGAATACGAAATGTTCTAGCTCATAAAGGACTTTCTTGGTTACATCGTCGCATGTGTATAGACCCGCTATACGTTCACAGTGCCTTCTGGTGGCAGTGGCAACAAGGGGGTTCTGCGTTTTAGCCTTTTGCCTTGTGTTGTGCTGGCGAGTTCATCTACTCTGTTGCTGCTGCTGCCGCTGCTGCAGACATTCTTGGTTGTCTTCAGAACCCATCTTTTTCAGTCTTCCAAAGAGAACTGAAGACCAATAGCTTTCCAGGAATCCCTCAGGCCTTCTGGGCCAGCCTGGGACTGCTAAGACATTCAACCTTGTGGGCTGAGCGGCTCTTGGCTTCTCAGTCTTTCGAGTGTGACAACAGCCCAGATTATATTGTTATAAATCAATCCCTTCTTAATATATGTTCATTCTATCAGTTCAGGTCCTCTAGAGCAGCAGTTCTCAATCTGTGGGGCTCAATCTTTTGGAGATCAAATGACCCTTTCACAGGGTCCCATATCAGACATCCTGCACACCAGATGTTTACATTACGATTCATAACAGTAGCAAAATTACAATAATGAAGTAGCAACAAAAACTATGATTTTGTGGTTGAGGATCACCACACCATGAGGAACTGTATTCAAGGGCCACAGCATTATGCAGGTTGAGAACCACTGTTCTAGAGAGCCCTGACCTATTTCCACTTAGTCTTAATGAACCCATTAAAATAGGGAGCAGGGACACATTTATCAGTTTGTTCATAGATAAATGTTATGGGGGCTCCAACTGAGCTTTCACTTGAGGCTCTGCAAACATTATGGGTGGGCTTTCCCACTCCACCCTCCTCCTACTCTGCCGCTAACATAGATGCCTGACTAGGTTTTACTCCAGAGGGAGCATGGAGATTATTTCCAAGTTCTCTTTATAAATCGACATAGATTTGTATACAAAGTAGCCACTGGCCCCTCCTTCATCTGCAGCTAGAGTCTGGACGGCGGGGCATTTGCACATGTTTTCTTTAGGTCACAGTCTGAGGATAGCTGACAGCGACAGCTAGGTTTTAAGTATCTGGGAGGTTGTGACACTTCCAGAAGGATCCCAGTATTTTAGGGCTGGCCACCTTACTGTGCTGTTGGTGGAGACTGGTTCTTAGTGCGCACTGTGTCTGTAACCTCCTCCTCATCCCTGCTGCATTCCGATTCCAGCAGTGCAGCAGGCACATTTGTACCCATGTCGTCTTCTAAGGGGCTGGCAGATGTTGTAAATGGTTCGCGTCGCACCCGCTTCCCTTCCTGCGCTTTGATGGTGAATTCTTTTCCCTTATCAAACAAAGCAATACATGGGCTTACAGGGGGAGAATGGAAAGATAAGGAAAGAGAAGAAAATAAAAACACCAGCAGTCCCACCAGGCAGAGACAGCCTCTGCTAACAGTGACTCACGCCTCTGCGGTTCCTCGGAGAGCTGTTACAGAAGACCAGTGTCTGCCCTTCCCACCCTGAGATTCTGTTCCAGGTGTTCCAGGCTGGCCTGGCAGGGAGGTTTCTCCACGTCTCGGGTGTAACTGTAGGAGACATCCAGTCTAGACATTAGGCTATAAAATGTGTGCTTTGTCAAGATGAGTGTCCCATAATATAGTTCTGCTACCTGATTTCATCATTTAATTGTTTTTTGTAAGCATTATTCCATAGAAAGATGGCAGAGCTAACCCATCTTCTTTTAAATAATTTTCCTGTGTGAGCTAATTTAATCATTCTCTTGTGGTCTGGTAAGCGGGCTCACCTGGCCCAGGAGGCGGGAGACAGATAAGAACAGAAATGTCACTTACAGATGCCAAGAACACTAGAGTTAGCTTGTTTTGTGTTATGATCTTATCAGGTTACTGTAATTTTTTGACTATAAAGCTATGGTTTTCAATTGGTCAGTTTCCAAAAGACTTGCCTATTAACCATCGACACTTCTAGGAATCTATTCAGCTATTTATTTTGTTCACCCAACCAATACACGCCTAGCCTCACGCTGGGGACACAAGATTTGGATTGTGTTTTTCACCTAAGGAATCTGTATTCTAAAAGAAAGCAGAGGCAAATGGGACCATAGTCCATGTTTGTTTATAGAACACTGCCTCTGCCCCAGGCCCTCTGATAACTCCAGTAAGTGGATTTCCTGGGTTAGCGGTCAGCAGTACCCGAGGAGGTCAGCATCCTGGGAATCATCCCCCTTCCACCAAGGAAGAGAATGAGGTCGTGAGAGAAGACTCAGGGTTACACAGCTAAGTGGTGACAGCTAATGTCGCATAAGTACATTTTGAGGAACCAATGAGTTTGTTGAGCTCCCAGAGCATGGGCGAGGCTTATTATAGGAGTGTGGGTAACCCCAAAGCTGTCACAGCACTGAAACGCTTCAACGGGCATGGGTGATGACTTCCCCACAGCAGCATAGATGGAGTCCCCTGTCATTAACCTTCTGCTCACTATTATTCTCTAGTACCACCTAGAACACGTGGCCACAGGCGACTTGAATAGAATAGCTAGCAGGGAGGAGGGGCTGAGATCTCATGTGAGGGTCTAATGAGACCTCCTGCTCCCTTCTCCAATGAAGAGATAACAGCAGGTCAATTCTGAGAGTCTCTTGCAGGCAGCCAAAGCCTGTCTGATCAGGAGGCTATGTTTGGAGCATAGCATGTTCCATAACAGCTAGGAGACAAGCCAAGATACTCGAGGTCCAGAGACCCACACCCTCACTCCCCGCTGCCCAAGGACAACAGGTTAAACTAGAACAGCCATTATGGAGATTGGTGTGGAAGTTTCTCAAAAAACTAAAGATAGAGATACTGTATCCACTGAGCCACCACTGGGCATGTACCCAAACGAAGTCATAGCCTCCCAAAGAGATCCTTGCACGTTTATATTATTGCTGCCTTATTCAAGCAATGCGAGGGAATGGAACCAGCTGGATGTCTACCAGCAGGTGAATTGATAATGCAGACATGGTACACACACGGTGGAATCTTACTTAGGTGTAGAGAAAATAAAATTACGAACCTCATAGGAACATGAATCTGGGAATGATTTTAAGCCAGGTAGCCCCTATCCGACAAATCTTACATGTTCTCTGTCATGTACAGATCCTGGCTTTTAATGCTTTTGTATATATATTTGTGACTGTGAGTGTTATAGGTTATGAAACTAGAAAGGATTCCACAGGGGATTCCACAGGCGGGAGGAAGTGGAAGTGAGGGCAGGAAGGGGAGGGCAACAGAGAGCATGTGTCGTGGAAGGGGGAGCGGGGAAGACTCAAGGGTGTGTCAGGATATAGTGAGAAGAGTCAGCAGAAGCAAACTGTTTGAAAATTACATAATAAGACTTAATACTTGGCATGCTAATTAAAAACAAACATTTAAGAGAGGACACCAGGTGTTAGGCAGGGGTCCTGGGGACAGTGGTCAGTCTGAATGTGGGAAGGTCATGAGAGAGAACCATTTCAGGAGGGTCTTTTACATGCAGAAACGATTTCATTAATCTCTCTTGTCGTGCTGGGATTTAAATCTAGGGCCTTGTGCATGCTAGGCAAGGGATCTGCTGAGTTCTATTGCAAGCCCTGTTTAATTCTTCCAAGGGAATGAATGTAATGGGGTGTGGAGAACACAAACATGGAGTATACAGAGGTACACTGAGATAGCTAGTGTCCATGGTAACCACTTCCCCTCTTCTGGACGGGTCCTGCATTGCATTGCTGCAGCAGTTTGCATGGCTGAGAGAGTCTGGGAACCTTTGAGAAGGATCGGGTCCATCGATAGACCAGTCCCTTGTGTGGTGATGCAGCCAGTAAGCTGAGAAGATGGAACACCTTAGGAGGAGGGCCCAGTCACATCGTGTAACACAGTTGAGGAGCCCTGCTATAAGACTCTCCTTCCAAGAAAGCTCCGGAACCAAGAACCATTAGATGAGACCCGGAAGACAGTCTAATCGATGGCTAGAAATGAAGAAGCCACTTGGGGAACCCTTCCCAGCGGAAATGAATCTAGAGGGATACTGTGAAGAGCCTTCTGTTTGAATCCATGTTGTAGGAGGTGCCTCAGAAGGACTGGGCTAGGAGCTAGAGAATCACTGAAGAGGCAGAAATAAACAGGTGGACCTCGTTGATAACGGTCAGGAAATACACATCAGGGTTAGAAAGCAGACGGCCTATGGGCGGACCTTGCTGATAGCAGGCAGGAAATACACATCAGGGCTAGAAAGCAGACAGCCTCTGGGGAGGGTTAAACTTACCCATTGCCGGTGTTTACTTTCTTCAGCAGTGTAGATCCTGGCCAGGCTTCTGCTATCCTTTTGTTGGATTAGCTCATAAAAGGAGCTGGCTGTAGAGAGACAAATGACTCTGCTAGGATGTGGAGGTGGAAGATCACAGTGACAACTGTCTTTTCCCAGTGGATTTCAAGAGTAAAGACATACTGTCTTACGAGCTGAAATATACCTGTGGGAAGGTTTCAGGGTCAGATTCAGTCCTTGCAGGATTCAATTGCGGTAGTCGTCGTAGCTTCAGGCTATGACCAGCTAACCTAAGACCTCAGTGTCCTCACACAGGACTGCGTGACTGCTCATTCAGATCATCAATCCAGGCAACTGGGGCTCTCAACTGCATTCAAGGACCTCGGCTCCTTTTAAGTTGCGGTCTTCTCATCTCTAATGTGGCTTTAGAATCACTCAGATGTCCTGTAGCCTGCAGAGGGAGAGAGAAGGGCCATGAAGAACTGGTGTGATCTTACAGGTCTGACCTTGGAGCTATGAACACCACTCCCGCTCCTATCTGTGACCCACTGGTTAGTGTTCAGTCTGGGGGACTCTGCCTAAACTCGGGGATGCTGTTAGCCAGACTTTCCTCTCTTAGGAGGGAACTGCAATAGGCTTTGTGAATTCTGTCATGGTCTATCTCATGAGTTCCGCCTACTTTTCTGTACCGTCATTCTCAAAGTCTCTTTCTTCTTATGTCAAGATGGCTGCAGTGGCGGGGGTCACATCTAACCACATGACTCGGAGAAGTGGAGAAACCCCTCTCTCTTATCTGACTATTTCTCAGGAAAGTGGGGCCGTCCATCCCCCAGGTCCCCACACATACTGCCTGTCATTGGTCATTGATCACCATCAGGTTAACCTCTCTTCCTGTACCAACGCCCAGGAGAGGAGTGAGATTATTTTCTGATAAATTAATCTCAGCAATAGAAATCCTAACTAAGACATCATCTATTTTATCTCTGTCTGTCTGTCTGTCTGTCAGTCATTTATCTACTCCCCTTCCTGCCTCCCTCCTCCTTCCTTCCTTTCTTCCTTCTTAGAGTAGGGACAACGGTGAAATAGAGAGGGCAAGCAGATGACAGTGGGAGTGGAGAGCCGGCTTCCTGGAGTGCCGCTTCCTGTACTTCTGTGGGAACACAAGGACGGAAGTTCAGATCCACAGGCTCCCTGGTGCTAACTGCAGCGCTCAGGGGGCTGAGACAGGGCAAACTGGCTAGTGAGGCTAGCTAAATGGACAAACTCTGGGTCCACCCAGAGAGCCTGCTCCTTTAAGTAAAGTCATTCTCTCTCTCTCTCTCTCTCTCTCTCTCTCTCTCTTTCTCAAAGATAAAAACCACCACAAAGTCTTCTTTCCCTTCACTTTCTGCTCCTTCAGTTTTGTTTTCATTTTTAAAAGGCTTGTACCCTTGCAGGGCTGTGGATTCACACAAAGTAGTATGCCTATCCATGTTTGTCCCCCCACCCCCACCCCACACCATGCCATGAGAGATGAGCAGACTGTGATCTAGTATGTCTGATGGGCTCATCTGACCTGGCTTTGCAGTAGGGAACAAGATGTGATAGTTAAGGATAACAGGCATTTTCAAAGCCTTTAAGTGAAGCTGGGTTTCTAATCTTGGCCAAGCCAAGCAAAGATTCTGGTTGCAGTGGTCTGGGCTGGCCTGGCAACAGGGCAACAACTGAGACTTACCAGGAACCAAAGGCAAGTGTAAGAGGTGGGAGCAAGGGAGTATGGGAGAAACCCAGGAACAGGTTGCTGTTGTTGTTTGACCCAGGCATTCACACTGTAACCCATTCCTGCCTTGAACTTGTTATCTCCAGCCCTCTACCTCCCGAGTGCTAGGCTTACTGGCCTGTGTGCGGCTTATGGACAGTTTCAAAGCCACCCTCCTCACAGCCACCTATCTGCCTAATCTGCAGGCATCTGCGACTGGCCAAAGCATTTATCTCTAAGCTAAACACAGATGGGGCTGCTGGTCGAGCGGATGAGAGGACACAGTCCCCAGCAGCCATTTGTGGAACACTGCAGACACCAGGTGAGGTCTTTATCAGCTCCCTCAGAGGTTGTCGTGACTGCCTTGTTTCTGCTTCACCGACACAGAGAGCAGCACGTTTGCTGAATCATTCTCCTGATCGTCGTTTCCAGCCGAGTGCTGTGCTGTGGCTAATCAGGAGAAAAATACTGACTCAATTTTTGAGCAAGGAATTAGGCTCAAAATGTGGCAGTTTGTACATGATTTGAACTTGAGTCCAGCCCTGACTTTTTTTTCCTTAAGAATAAGGTGATTTTAAAAATAAAAGCTAGGATGACTGCTAATTGATTATACAAGACACATCATTCAGAAGTTTCTCAAGCATGCCGCTATTGTAAAAAGCTTGATCTGTCTTAGTGAGTTTAGTTTCGGATTGTGATAGGCGCTCCTGACTACACTCTGCAAACATGGAGCTGTGGAAAGGAACTCAGTGGAAAAGCCATTAAGGGGCTTTCTATGGATTGTTTTCCCGTTAACCAGGTCTACTGGAATCACTAAGCCAGCTGTGGCAAGGCTATTTAATAACCTTCTTTTCATTTCCTGGTTTCTTACTCAGTCTCTCTTGTACTCGTCATTCCCGGGTAGCCTGGATTCATTGTTTGCTATTTCCTTCCAGATGCTGCTTTAGAATAATCACATGTGGGTGTATGTGCAAGTCAGCCCTGGGAGCTGGCTTCCATGGCCAGCAAGTATCAGTGGTGAAAAACCAATGGAATAAAAGAGTGGGTTAAAGGACAAAGGGGGAAAACTAAGCTAGAAATATCCCTCAACAACAAGAGTTGGCCAGGATACCCAAGTGATGCTTCACTTTTAATTAAAAGTAAACCTTTCCCCCTCGAAGGGCTCTTGTGTGATGAGGCACAAGAGGGCAGTGTTACGTCAAATTAAACTTTATGAAGATGTGGTTAGTGGGAGAAACCTGAAGGGATTAGGTTCATCTTAACCTTGGATAGGAGAAGTCTGGCCGTGGTGAGAATGTAAATAGCAAAGGAGGGCTCACAGCTATTGATCTGTTCCATGGCACTAACCAAAGGTCTGTGATCTCTTCTGGATAGGACACCTGAACGGACGGGGGCGGACGGGGGATTCTGCCAACCGTGACTATTCTAGAATACTTCAATACTGCCTTGGATTTTAGAAGTTTTACTTACAATTCGCTATTCATTTGAACAAAAGGCGCAAGAATGAGAACACTCTTAGAATAGATGCTTGAGATGAGAAGAAACAGTAGGCAGGTTGGCATCTCATGAGCTCAGGGCTGTACCTGAGCATCTGGGTAGCTGAAGGCTTCATTCAAGTGCTCAGGCTAAAACCATATTAGACAGTGTTCTCTATAGGAACCAGCAGAGGGTATATAGATTAGAAAAGAGGATTTATTAGAACAGCTTGCACTATAGGAGTTCAGTAGTCCAACAATGGCTGTATGCATACTAGAGAGGCTGAGAATTCAGTGACTTCTCAGTATAAAAAGCTGAAGTCCTAGTTGCCTCAATGTTGAAAGCCTGGAAAATTCTTAGAGAGTCAGTCATCTTTAGTCTACCTTGGAAGACTGAGAAGACTGGAGTCTTATGGCCCAGGAGAAGTTGCTGGTTGTGACAGACCAGCAAGAAGCAAAAGTAGACCCGAGAGCAACACCTTTTTATATGTGAGCCACCTCCTAGGAGGTGGAAACCACCTGAGGTAGAAGCCTCTTGCCCAGTTAAGCTTTCCTGAACTGCCCTCACAGGCTTACCCAGAGGCATGAACCTTAGTTGACTTCAGATTCTGTCAAGTTGAGATTAACTATATTGCAAGTCTACCCCTGGGCAACTTGACACTCAACCACATTTCTCTTACGTTGTGTTTAACTGCTGAATGAAGAAAATAACAAAGGTATAATTCCACCTAATGATATAACTATCCCTCACAGAGCTGATATAAGCTAAATTACCCTAGAACAGATGGCAAGGTTACCTGAGGGATGCTTAGTCTTCTAGTGTCCAATATTCAAATATGGCGCTATAGAGTCAACACTACAGAGCTATGGATATTAGTTCAGTTGATGCTATATTTCATGCTAGAGGGATGTAAGATAAAAGAAAACAAAAATATCTTCTCAGTGTCTGTGTATATATGAAGAAGCACATTCTTAACAAACTAGAAAAGAAACTCATGATGATTAAAATCATTGTCTCTGTAATAACCACACAGCACAAATTCCAAATCCCATACCTTCATTCCAAATGGGTCTGAGCCATTTGCCCCCTTGCTTGGACTGCAGGACCCATTGACTTTAGTGTAAGAACAGAATAATGCCAAGAGTTGCCCAAAAGCCGTGGCTCTCAACCTTCCTGATGCTGTGACTCTTCATGCAGTTTCTATCATGTTGTGGTGACCCCAACCATAAAAGGATTTTCATTGCTACTTAATAACTGTAATTTCGCTGCTATTCTGAATCAAAATAATATATCTATCTGTGTATTCCAATGGTCTTAAGTGACCCCTGTAAAAGGATCATTTGGCTGCAGGTTGAGAACCACTGCCCTAAAGTGTCTCCTGCTCTCAAGACATACTTGTGGAGAAGCAATCTAATTTCACACTTTTAGTGGGATCATTCATCCCTGTTGACACTGTAACCTCTTGCTTAGTCTGTTGACTCACGAGCATGCTAAGCACAAAGTGGCCTTAACTCCTAGTCCAATGGTATGTTCATTGTGCCTTTCGGCAGAAACGCCCACTTCCTCAAGACTTCTGGGCCAATGGGGCACAGAGTTGAAGGGACAGGAAACATGAATTTTGTTAGTGGGTGATAAGGGGTGGTGGTAAGGGATACCATATCCATTTCCTGTTTTGATTCCTGAACTCATGCATCTTGGCTCTGAGAGACACAGTACAATACGAAGGATGCTGATTTAGGCATCTATAACCTTCTGGAGAGGCCTCTCACGGGCCTCCAGACTTTTGCTATATAGGTGCTATTATAACTGTCTTTAGAAGGTTATTCTACTCTCCCACCAAGGTATCTGCTCCAGGATGATGAGGGACATAGTAAGACGGGTGAATTCCTGAGCATTTCCTTTTGTTAATTTGACTATTTCCGCTTAAACAGATTTAACAAGAACTGAATAGACTTCTTACTGATTTCGCTTCTGAAAACACCATGAGTAGTTAGCTAGTGCTATGAGCCTACGGGAGTCAAACCATTACGAACCTTGCCTTGTCTGTTATCCCTTGCTGTAAATAATACACTTTACCTTTAGCAGTTCTGTGTGGCCATTTGGTTCTTGCTACTCTGGAATTCAATCAGTTACTGAGCACACAGGCTGCTCCATGGTAGGGTCTAGCATACAGAGAAGCATTCCTGCATCACACAGCTCTCCAAGTCTCTGGTGGCCCTCTGACAAATCTGTTCCTTTTAGTATTAATTAGGGGCAAGTCTTCTGGACTCTCTTATTGTGGAGGACTATTTTTAAATAGTGAATCTACCTGAGCATTCCACTTCCTCAGAGCCTTTGAATCCTGTCATCAACTCTAAGCCAAGGAATATCAGGCATTTCCAATTCATTCA